AAACTCTGCAACATTAAAATAAAATAGGATTTAATTAATATAATTCCAATTTTCTATCTTTCAATTTACTTTAATATAATATTAAAAAAATGTAAATAAATCTTGAGCCAAAATTTTATAACTGCAAATAATAATAAAAAAAAGCAATTTTATATTGTATAAATAATAATTTTGAAATTAAAAATAGATTGTAAATTTTTTAACATATAAAATTTTTAAATAAATTATAAATTTTTTGATGAAAACATTATTGTTCGTTGATTATTTTAATAAAAAAACCATTTTAAAAAAATGTTTGATTCAATGGTTTAAATTACAAAAATCCTAATAAATTTATTCTTATATTAAAACAGAAATAATTTATTTTATTAAATTAAGATTGATTTTTACAATAAAGCTTACATATAAACTTTGCCTAATATAACACATTAGTTTAAAATATCAGGTCTTGAAATACTTTTTAAAAAAGGAATTAAAAAACTTTTTAAATAATAAATATACTTAATTTTATTTTTTAAAACATGTAATATTATTACATAATATTTTTTATATTATTAATTATGTATTACAAGAAAAAATAACAATGGATATAATATTTTATCAATAAATATTTATACTTATTTGGAACTTAAAATATTATTTTTATTGTTTTTTGAACTATTAAAAAAAATTTAGATAACCAATCAAATACGATTTTTCAAACATAATTTGGTAAACAATATTTTGAACAAATTTTACAAATAATTTTTTTTTTTTAATAGAAGCAAACGAATAATATTTTTTTAAATACAGTTAGATCAATAGTTTTTTAATGACATAATTTGATAAATATATTTTTAACGTGATTTGATCAATATTTTTTTTGATGCAGTTTTTTTTATTTAATCAGTTTGATCATTAACAAATAATTTTAATTGTTACGCCACTAATGTGACTAAACGTCGCGAAGGACCCGTTTCGAACGTGGTATTTGAAGTAGTATGATAGAAGTGTGTAAGCGAAAAAGTGATAGAAAGTGGTTAAAGTGGTATTAAAATAGCGTGTTAGGAAGTTATGTAATGAGGGAAGAATTGTGAAAAAAACGATTAAATAATGTAAATCATTGTGATCAGGCATTATTTAATGAGGGAGAAACATGAGAAGGCATTAGGTAATCGATTTCGCCATAATTTTAGAATGTAAAAGTCGTCCCAACTAAAGTGTATGAAAAGAAAAGTGAATAAAGGCCAGGGAATAATCTTTTACTCAGCCAAATAGAACACGCCTTAAATTTCATTAAAATTCCTTACCTCATCAACGGTTACGCGACACTCTGCCCCACATTAGCGATAGACTCGCCGATCGACTGATACACTATATAATGAGATCTACCACGTAAAAAAAGCCATGATAACGACGTGATCATAGAATTTATTTATATTTTTGCAAATATGCTGAGGAAACTAAAAATGGAGTTTAATTTTAGCCCGAGAAACATCTAACCAAATATCGGCTGTTCTCACTACAATAATAAGGGACCTTTTTCTGATCAAGCTGAGCTTACGAAAGTAAAAAAGAAAATTGATATAAAGTTTTCAAGATGCTGTAGTCATTTTGGTTAACTGATTACACAAAAGAACCGAACTTCCTGAATTTAATATAAATAGGGGCATCTACCACATTAAAATAATTATAAAGTCGAATTTCCAATGAATACGAACGAAACTATTTATCCTCTCTTTACCATAATTCTCTTGTCCTTCTTCGTCTTAAACACCTCCGCTGTATGCAGCCCTACTTCTTGTAAATGCAATATCGGTGCACCGCAAGGCTTATACTGTGGTGGTAAATAATAATAATAATTTGAATTATCTTTGATTCTTGATTTTGTCTTATTTTGATTTCTTTTCTCAGCTGCACTGGACGATTCGAATTGCATAAATAGTCATGTCTACGAATGCAATCCACGTGGTGAAGCATGTGATTATGGCTTTCGCACATCATGCGATGAGTGTTGTTTGGGATGTAACTGTGTTTGACATTGGGTTGATTATAAAAGAAGTAAAACGAGTACTGGGTGTTTTCTGGGATCGTTGATTGGATTGGTGTTGACAATGTTCCTGTTAATAAGAAAGCTCGAACTTAAAAATTATGGATATTTTCTTGTACTGCATTTACTATATTTAGATTTAAAATAATCTTTTCCGATCACTATCAATGATAAGGGTTTTTTGATCAGTGTTACGAATTATTAATACTTAAAACAAATTTGAGATCAAAAACCAACAAATGATTACTGTATTTTTATAACTTGTAGAGTGATGTTATTCGTATTATAATATTTCTGTTATTATTACTAATAGCCATATTCAGATTTTCGTTAGCAAATAAAACCGGAGTATAATCAAAATTGTTCGTACGAGAGTTTTGGTTCAGATTGTTTATATTTATAATGTTGGAAATACTGTAATCTAGATTCTTTTCGATTTTTTAGACGCGGGGCGCTCTGCGAAGCAGATACAATTTTTAATTTCACCATCTATATTTGCCATATGGATAGCCTTGTTACTATCCATGTTCTATATTTACGAATCTTATTTCATTATCTTTCAAAGTTTGTCAAAATTCTAGTTTTGAAATCTGCTTCCTTAGTCATGAATTTTAATGTCTCGATCTTAGCAACAAGTTTAGAATTTGTTTCTTTAACATATTGGGTTTTATTGCGTGTTTTCTATTTTTATATAATATGAGATGTGTTCAAAAGTTTAAATTAACAGAAAAAATGATTGACCAAAAAGTTAAAAAAAGTCACGTTGTTGAATTTCGCCAAGAAAAAAAATTATGATTAATGTATTTATAGTACTGTATATGCGGAAATCTTTATTTTTCATTACGATTAATAACATAGCCAGATCTTTGGTTAATTAATCTATTTACATTAAAAGATTGGCACGGTCAACTCTCGATGAAAGAAACATCGACAAACTTTCTATAATTAGTATTTTTATCAGCGATCAAAGAACATCAAGTTCGATAAATTAGCAATTATTATTTTAGTTATGATCATCTATTTTTCCGGGTCCCGGTTTATTCGATAAAAGAAAATTTAAAACACGGGGGGTTTTCAAATAAGCATTAAAAAATCTTAATTTCAAAAAAATTTTTTTAAAAAAATTTTTAATACCCTGTGATCAAAATTGATTTAGATTTACATATTTATTAAAATGGCTAAATATATACTATTTATAAAAATTTTAGTCAAATATAATCATTTAAAAAAAAAAATCGTTATATACAATAGTTAAAATCTTTTATCGTATAGAATGAATTTTTTTGATATTTAGTAATTAAATTTAACTAAAACTTTATAAATATTATATATTTTGTTCTTATATTAAATATATAATTTTAAACCAATTTTGATTACTAGTTATCAAAAAAATCATAAATTATAACAATAACAAATTGTTATCATGAGATTTATAATTAACCGTCATAAGAAACCCTAATTATAGAAATAATTTAAAATATTCGAAGTTGATGCATTAATCACTAAAATTAATTTAGCAATTAAGGTATATCATAGTAATAATAATAAAAAATGAAGGTGATTATTGAAACCTTAACCATTTGTCTCACTTTTTGAATAAAAAAAATGACATTTATCTTGCATAATAAACTTGCGTCCTTAAATCATTATTCATCAATAATTTGAGACGAACAACGCTACAATAAATAAAAGATTTTAAGAAAGAATTGACATTACTATTAGCTCTATGTAGAGAGAAACACTTGTAATCTTGTCAAAAAGAGATTAGCAACCAGCCAAATCATAACCTGCCTCAGAGTCAAAGTCTTATTTAGTGCCAAAATCCGGCCGTTCTGATTATCGTCACGCGAAGAGTAGCCGGAGTTAGCGACTGACTCGCCGGTGACAACAACAATATGTATCCAATGCTATGGAAATGTATTAAAGTCCATAAATGGTCTTCAAATATTTATTAAATAAAAAACAAAAAAACACGGTGTCCACGATGTGCAGTTGAAATCGTCGTACCCGAACGATTGAAATGTAAAAAGTTTGTAGAAAGGAAGGAAGTATTTTTCTCACAACTAAGTTTATTAATAGACAGGATCTCTTGAATTGCAACATAATCAAAAACATCAATGGAAGGCTTCAGCAAAAAATAAAATGTAGGGAACTTGGTGTCGACATTGCCCGGGTGGTTCATATCGTCCATATTTTTATACTGATAGCGAAAATATTGCTCAAAAGCATGGTGAAAATGTCTTTCTACAAATTATAATAATATAAACACACCAATGTTTTGGAGTCATGTCAAAAACTACACCTCTTACTCAAATAAAAATAAAGGCATATGGTGGGCACAGTGTTCTAAATAAACTTGAAAACTTATATCGTGAAGTTATATAAAAAAATACTGGTTCATTATTTGAAATTCACATACCAGATTTCTTGGAAGAACCAGAGTATTATAGGATTAGAACTTGATACTACTATCCATAATAAAGATTTTCTACAGAGGTTCAAGGTATACAATATGAAAGGTACAGAAACTCTTTCACAAGCAAATAATACGTGAACGGATTAAAAAAAGAGCCCTATGAAAAAAATTGGGTTGTCTATTAGAGATGTGGTATCGCATATAATCATTCTCAAAAAAACTCAAGAAATTAGCAATTAATTAAGTTATATCTTAAGAACATTAATTTGAATTGCATTATATGTTCTACAGTATTATACAGTAGTTCGTTTTATTACGTAACGTTAAATATGAATACCCATGTATGCGTTATTTTTCGTGATATTAATACTATCGTCATGAACTTTATTTTTTGATTAAATTTTATAATGAGAAGAAATAAGCAAGATTAATACCATTTTCTTCTATTCTAGGTTTCCCACTCTTTTTCTATTTTCGAATATATTGCCCATAAACATATACTGTATATCACATTGTTACAAGAATATCGAGAAATTTGTTAGTTTATATTTAATACTATATTTTGCAATTCCTATAAATCCAAATAGAGCTATTAATTGCTTTAGCAGGGACGCCACTAGGAGAACCGTTGAAAAGTTCAACGGCAGGAATATGCAATTGATAATTTGGAATACTAGGAGCGTTGCAAATAGTTGCTGCAAACCCGATACCAGTAATGTCAACAGATGGAACACCCATATTATTTAAAAGAAAGTTGATTGCACTACGATTGAGAGGTGCTGTGCCAAAAGATATTACAACATCTGGTACTGTTTGATTTTGGTTTGTACGTAGGTAGCGTAGTGCAGGCATTGCCATTGTGCCGTCCTGACAAATGGGAAATAGTTTGATTGTAAGGCAAATCTGAATATTCGTTCGTGGAGAAAAATAATATGTTGAAAGACTATGTAGACTGGAAAGAAATTCGCTCTTGCCAACTTCAACAACTATTGTTGGATATGCACCTCCATCTGAGTTAAGTTTCAGGCCAGCTGGAGATGGAGGAAGGTCTAATGGCCGGATGGAAACATCAGCAGTAAAGTAGCTATTTGGAGACACAATGTGATTCTCTCTATCGAAACCAAATAATCGATTATTCCAGGCGCACGTCAAGAAAGCAATTTTGCCTGCTACCTTTCCATGGTCTGAAAAAGGCACTTCATAAGCTATGACTTCTCCATCAACAAGGCGAATGCTAACAGGAAGCTTTCGCTCAGTATTACAAAACCTGATGTAGGCTTCGAGTGAAACATTTCAGCGATAATTATTGGCTGCACACCCTCCCACGCCTTCATTTCTTTCTCTTGTTGAGCCGCAAGTATGTGATCCCTGGCTAGGTTAAGGAGCTCTTTGCGCGACCGCAGCCGAGTTGTTGGCATATCGGATAAGTTAAGGCAATCGTTACTATAGAACTAGAATGGGCAAACTATGGGAAAATATGAAAGAATTTTGCAAAGAAAAACTCGGGTAATTCTTGATATATCATCACATACGTAATAATTATGTAATAACATCTGGATCTCAGTTCTGAGAACGAGCAATTTTTAGTCATTTATTCATACGTATGTGAAATTTCTACTTTCAATGTTACAAATATTCCAAATATTCCTTCACATTTCCATGCCCATTTTTTCCTGGTACCAATATAAATAGATTGATTTTATTTATAAAATGAAACATCTAATATTTGCTATATATAATGAATTGTTGTCAAATTAAATAATACAGTATTTTAATAATAATCAAAACTATATAAAAATACCTGTACATCACTATAAAGTACCTTTTAGATACGATTTATCTAATATAATATTTCTAATATTTTTCGTGATAAAAAATTTTGATAATATGGTCTGGCAAATTTAGAAGCCAGTCGCATTATAAAAAAAAAAAAAAAGGTCAAATTACTTATTTATAGAGAGAAATATTAATTTCTTTCCTCATTATTGTCAGAACTCGAATATCTGGTACAATTCTCACAGGAAAAGCGGTGACCATCAAGTGAAATATAACCGACGTCATAAGGTTGTAGCGATAAATTTACCTTTGGGTGAAAAAGAGATAATTCACAATACGACTTAACAGGTGCTTCAAAAGACCCGCCAAATCTATGAGCTTCGGCAGGACATTCGTGATCACACTTAGCAAATTCTTTTTTCTCTTGAACTGAATAAGGGTCTAAAATAGAATTATATTATAAGAAAATAAAAGAATTGTTATTTAATCACAGCAAAGTATATGCTAATAACCTTTAAACCCCGTGCGTTCCCAGAATAGACGATGCGAAATAAAATCTTTGGCAATATGAGGATTTGATTCAACTTGATCTAAAGTATTAAGAAAATTATTACAAATACATTTCCGAATAAGAAAGGTTTAATAACAAAATACCTTTAATATGTTCGATGTCCGGATGGTTCTTATTTTGCTCACATATAATCGCATCTTTGCAATAATCGACATGCCGATGACGCCCCATTCCCTTACAATACTGTTATGATACAACGCCAGAATTCATATAATAATAATAATATATATATTGTTGAATACTAATTAGACGGGAAAAAATATTACGCTTCTACATACCAAACTGCAAAGAACGAATAAATAATCATTTTTCATTTGTAGTTTGCGACTTTAATTATGAGATGTAAAATATCAACGTTATCGATAATATTATGCAAGGAATTTGAAATAGAATGTGTCTGTACCCTTCATGCTCAAAGTTATATTCACTTATAAATTTCGTTTTAATCATAATTCCATGATTAGTTTCGTGCAATGGTTGCTCGTGCCCATAAGGTAAAGTGCACTATTAAAAGAAAAAGGATTTAAGGTATTATTAATTAAGATTAAGATATTATGCGGTTTACAGTAGTCAAAGCTTACATAATATTCACAAAATTGGCACTTTGCATCACAGTAATGAAAACCATTGTTATCCTGGGAATGTGAATGCGTTCCCTCATGTCTAAATTTATTAGGAGGAATTTTTTTGCAACACGACATTCTTTCACTTAATTGAGCACACTAACGGATAAATTGTAGTATATATAGTTGTTACAAAACACTTGAAGTGACGTATTAGGACGAATGACATTTTTCTTAGTATATTAACCATTGATTTTCTAATTATTTCTTGATCCGTCACTTGTCTTTGAGGCACGGTCCAAACTCTACA